CTGAATCACAGTGAATCCAAAGAGAGGGCGAGGCTCTGTAGTTTGCGGACCAGGAGGCAGGCTCTGTCCGTCCCACTTCGGCACTTGCACGTCTCCCTCGAGGCCCTCCTTCGGCCGAGGAATTCTCCTTCCTCCCAAACAGTGACTAACAATTGCTGCGCCTGTGCTTTTCCGCCTTCGCCGCTAAACAGCCACCGGAAGTACTATCCCCTCTCCCCATAGGTCGATACTGCGCATGCACCACACCAGGTTCCCCGCCCCCATCGGTGTCCAACCCGGGAGCGCAAAACCTGCCAACACGCCTGCGCAAGCGAGTGTGCCCCGGAAGCAGTTCTTTGGCCTGTAACACGTAGCAACCCGGCCGGTTCAGAGTCTTAAGCTGGGTGTGGGGGTAATTTGTTGCTGCCGGAGCTGCTGCCACCGCCTCTGCTGTTGGTGAGTGACCCAGGCCCGTGGCACGCTGCTCAGCTTTTCCCCACACCTGTGCAGCGCGGCTTCTTGGCACCTTTCGGGCGCCGCGCCCGGTCCTTTCCTCAGGCTCTGGTTCCCTTTCAAGCCCTTGCTGTGACGCGGCCTTTGGGGCGTCTGCTCTTACCTGGCAGGCCCAGGCCTTGTTTTGCAACGAAGCAGCGGGATTGTCAGTTGTAAAGCCCCGCCCCAAAGGTGAGGAATCGTCTTTGTGGTTGATATTTTAAGCCACTTTGGGACCATTCCTCCCACGTCCCTGCAACCTAACTCAAGGCACATCAGTACCTTGAAGTGGAGGTGTCTTCCCAGGCCTTAACTTAGAGACTAAACGTTTCCTTACCACCACCCCCACCCCCGCATCTCCGACCCACCCTCCGAGTGCTGCTTCCCAAAATTTCCGAAGAATTATTTGCTGCCTTCTGGGGGGTATTTGCTTAAGCAAAGCATGGAGCACGAATTAACTAGGACATGGACATAAGCAATATTTGCCATTTCTCTTCTGCCGCAGATCGTTTGCAATGTCAGGCTTTGATAACTTAAACACGGATTTCATCCAGACGAGTTACAGCATCGACGACCAATCACAGCAGTCCTATGATTATGGAGGAAGTGGAGGACCCTATAGCAAGTAACTGTTCAACTTTGGCAATTTATTTAGTCAAGATTGTAATGAGATCTTGGTGCCCAGAATGTGTGGTTCGGCCCAAAACTGAGTGTGTGAACATGTCCCTTGTCAGGGATGTGATTTTTCGTGATCTTTCTTCCTCTGGAGAGACCAGGGACACTGGTTTGGGCTTGAAGAAGGGCTTGGCCCTATTTAGAGTTTGAGATCTTCCGCAATATCTTCAGGTGTGTTGTGGGTGGGAAAGTAGATTGTTGAAGAATTTTTTTTAGTAAAAAGCATTTGTACATCATGTAAAACACGGATAGGAGCTCAGGCACCTAGAAGATAGGCTGTCTAGTCCACAGGACCAGGTAAACATTGAAACCTCTTGGTGGTGGTTTTGTTTTTTTAGTCGTTAAAATAGTCCACCCGTGAGACTTTCTCGATATTAATTGAAAGTGCTTAGTGACACTGTTTGACAGTGTAAGCTTCCTGTTATGAGTCATCAGGTGACTCATCGAGTTGTCTTCATATAGCAATTGATGGCCCTTTTTATTATTACCTATACCAAAAGCTTACGGTCAGTACACACAAGTTGCCAGTTGTGGAAGAGGGGCGCTCAAAACATTTCAGCCCTGAACTGTTAAAAAAAAAAAAAAAGATTTTTTAATAATCTCTAGTATTTGTGGCAAAAATACAGTAATGAAGGTTTCCTGCCAATCTCTAGGACATCATATCCTTAGTTTCTTAGGACCTTAAACACAGTTCTCAGCCTCCTCTCCGGTGAAGGAGTTTCCTATACCTGGGTTGCTTAACCTTTTTTAGGTGGTCTGCTACTCGTTTAAGAATCTAATGATGGGGGAGGGGGGTTGTCACCTCGAGTGGTAAAAAGTATAACTATTGCACTGTGTTGTACAGCTGAAACTAATTCTAAAAATGTATTTCACAATAAAAAATTATTTAAAAAACCCAACTCTGGGTGGTAAACACAGCACGATATATAGATGATGTATTATAAAACTGTACATTTGAAACCTATATAATTTTACTAACCAATGTCACCCCAATAAATTTAATTAAAAAAAAGAATCTAATGAAAGCTATGGGCCTATTTCTGAGAAACATGTGCATGCACTCAGACATCCACATAAATGTGCATATAGCTTCAGGCAGTTGATGTGGCATCTGATGATCGTCTATGGGCTGTGAATTAAAACCTCATGCAGACTCTCCCAGGGTGAGGGCAAGGAAGGATCGTGTATCCAGCCAGTCTGAGAGAAACATGGAGTACTAGAACGTGTTTGAATTAATAAATCTGAATGGAAGTGTCCAAGAATTTAAAAAGCAAAGCAAAAAATCAAATTCATACCCACAGTCTGGATAGGTACACCATTTATAACTTATAGGCCCCTTGAATCTGCTTAATTTGATGTATTCAAAGCTTTTTCCCCCACTCCCTAAAATTTAACACAGTGAACTATGGGAGTGAGCATGTAAAAAATTCTCTCTATGAATCACATTCTTCCTTTCTGTGAAATTCTCAGCTACATATCATTGAGGATTTATCTCTTTTGGTCAGTTGGGTAGAATTTAAAAAAATCATGTTGAGAAATTTTCATTAATTTATTTACCTAAATATATAATTTTTGTGATTGTTCTGTGTATGAGAGTGCAAATGATTGTAAGATTGGCCAGAGTGCAGCCATCGGGCTTTGGAAAACCTGCTCTGTGTGCAGGCCTGTTTTTAACCAAATTATATGGATGTTTGGAACAGCACAACTATTCCGTTTAGATTGCAACCTCCTAGGCTTATCTGTCTCTGCCTTTCTTTTCTATCCTGTCCATGTTCGTATCACTTAAAGGGGTAACTTATCATTCCACTTATTTCATTTCAGTTTTCCAGAGCAGTTTAGATACTCTGTTTCTAACTATTCTCACAATTTCATTCCAACCAAATTAAATACCAGTCAGCATTGTTTCAGTGCTAGTAAAGAAGTTTTGTTCCAGGTGCTTATATAACATTACTGCCATTTAACGAGTATGAGTTTATAGATGATACTTAGGAAAATAAGAAGCCTAATTAATAAATTAGCAGTAATAGCTGGGTTTCTGAGCTTTATATAAAAAACAAAAATTGGCCTCTTCTACTTCTCTATGTACCTTCAATTAGATCTGCAACCTAATGGCATTTTAAATGTCCATCTCGGTTTATCAAATAATATTTTGTTTGTTTTGCTAACTTGGTAACAAAGATCAACTGATAACTTTTACCTATTGATCAAAATCTAGGTTCGAATTGCATATGACTTGAATTGTCTTCAAGTTTGACTTGACTTATTGTTGGTCTACAGTTTTGCATTTCCCCTGTGAAGTCAGCTTTAACATTTGACATAGTTTCCTCTACTGGTACTTTATAAGTATCATTCATAATATATATTCATATAAAAACAACAACAAAAATACAAACAAAAAATTAAGGGCTGTTTGATCTTAATCTGTAGAGTTTTAGGAACGTCATATTTGGACAGGACCCACACTGTATTCCAGATATGCCTATAAAATGCATACTAATACCAGTTACATAATTTTTTAAAGTGTTGAAAGCTAGAATTTTTTTTTCATCTTGGACTTAACTGATAATACCTTTATGGACTATCTAAGGATTTTTATGAACTTAAAAAGCCAACCCAATACGTTAAGAGGCTTTGTGTTTGTCATTGGCACTGAGTGCTACAGCAGGTTTTCTACGTTTATCTGCCACTTTTCCTGCTGTTAAAATGTTGATTTAGCCTATAAAGATCATGTCTACTATGCTATGTTTTAGTTTAAAACTAGTAGAGGTGACTCAGGAATTTTCCTGACCAGGTCATGCCAAGGAAAAAGGAAAATATTAAAATTCTATGGTATTCTTTCTCACCTGAATTTTGAAGAAGGAATGATAGTGTTACCTTTGAAGCTGTGATTTGCTTGCAGTATTTCTCTTCCTGATGTGAGATTTATGGGTCTAGATCAGGATCTAAAGTGTGGACTGCAGATCCCAAAGGGTCCTTGAGACCTTTCAGAGAGTCTTTTCATTACAATACTAAGACTTATACACCTTTTTAGGTGTGTTGACATTTGCACTGATACTGGAAAAGCAATGATTGGTAAATTGCTGGTACCCGAATTTGAATTAAGACAGTGGCATCAAATTGTTCTAGTAATCATTGTATTGTTCATTGCCACACACTTGCTGGGGGTGGGGAGAATCAGTTTCATTTAAGGACGCCCTTGATGAAGCAGTAAGAATTACCGTTTTATTCTGAACCTTTTAAAAAATACTTTCTGTGATAAAATGGGAAACAGTCATAAAGCACTTCTACTTCATACTGAAGTACAATGATTATCTCTAGGAAAAGCCCCTGTGCAATTTGAGTGTCAAGCTTAATCAGCCACTTGTTCATGGAAACCATTTTTAATGGAAAGAACTGACCTACAAACTGGTTATTCAGCCTTGAATACTCAGCAGATATTTTCTCAAAAATGAATGAAGTGAGCCTGTTAATTCAAGGAAAACAATTGACAGTATGTATGGCCAATGATAAAGTTAGAGTTTTCAGGCAAAAATGAGAATTTGGAAAACTTGTACTCGTCACTTGTCAGCTTCCCAGTAATTAACCATTTTTCTGATGAGATCAGTAATGACAGCAACAAATGTGTGATTTTAAAATATTTATGTGTGTTTCTGTTAAATGTGTTGATATTTGGAAGACCTGCATGACTCATACTAGTATTTTCTAAATGGCCAATACATGATTTTACAAAGTTGTACCTGAGTAAAGAAAGGATCCATTCAAAGTGCAAAACAGATGGATGTATTCTAATGCAACAGAGTATAAAAATTGCATTAGTATTGTTCCAGTTTCCATGTTGCAACTTAAGTTTAAAAAAACTACCACTTTGCTTTGAACTTGAATATAGTATCAAAAGGAATATTCATGATAATCTGAGAAGGTTCTTAAAAATACTCAATTTTCCAACTGCAAGTCTGCAACACTAGATTTTCTTCAGATACTTCAATTAAACTAATATATCACAACAGGTTGAATGCAGAAACAGATATAAGAAGTTTTAGCTATCTTCTGTTAAACCAGACATATGTGAGATTTAAAAATATGAGTGCCAGTAATCTCAGTAAGTTTATAAAAATAATTTTTTTCATAAAAATGTTTATGCTAACATGTAATATTTATTATTACTTTAAATGAATTAATAAATATTTTAAACATTTCTCGGTTTTAATTTCTAATATTGATAGATATAACCCACATAAATAATATTTGAGATTCTCAGTAATAAACTTTAAAGAGTATAAAGGGGTCCTAAGATCAGAGTTTGACAACCATTGATCTGTACCATTCTTTTTGGTTTTTCTATTGCACATTCATAGTTATATTTTTTTCTCTACACCCCCCCCCACCCCCGTGAGAGAATAAAATACAATCTGTTTATGCAGATTGTAGAAACCTTCATATGGCGCTTTTCTAGCTGTTTCATAAACTCAGATGTGGATTTAGGATACATCCTAACAGAGATCAACACAATAACATATTGTACTAAATCAGAAAACACGAGTTTTTGTCTTAGTTCAATCAGCTATCCCTGTGGGGTATGTCTGTATGTGTGTAAGTAGAAAGAAATCAACATATTTGCATACCAAAATGAGTGGGGAAATGCATATACAGAAAAAATATTGTAGCTGTCTCTGTAAGGTAGGATTTGGGGGTGATTTTTATTACAGTTGTTAAGAGTTGGAGTCAAAAAGTCTAGCTTTTAATCCACCACATGGGCAAATCATTTTAATCCAAATACTAGTTTCCACATCTTTATAATGGGAAGGATGATAAAATCAACTTCAAGTTGTAGTGAAGATAGTTCACATTAAACACTTACAACAGTGCTTTAACAGTAATCTTCAAAAAGATCATTAGTTAGGATTTTGGGTATTGTCAGTAGTTAATATATACCTATGTATTACATATAACATTTTAGAATTTTAATAAATGTGTAATGTTTTTAAAGGTACAAAAGTTTATAACATGAAAATTAAGTCTTCTGTTTCCCATTCCCAGGTCCCTTTACCTATATAATGATATATAGATGTAGATATAGGTGTGTAGATATAGATAAAGATATATCCTAAAAAGCACAGTCATGATGGGCGTATTTGGTATATACTATTATGAACATTGGTTTTTTTTCTTCCCTCTGAACATTTCTTGAGTATCATTCCTTATCAGTACACATGCAACTGCCTCATTTCCTTTAACAGGTGCATAGAAATCTATGCCCATATCACAAATTATTTAGTAATAGTTATTTCCTTTGTTTTCTGTCTTTTGCTGTTAAAACAATGCTGCGTGAATTCCATGTTATATAGCCAGAAAAATAAATAGTATTTTTTTTCAGCATGGATTGGACTAATGTGGTGAGTCTTGAGAACCCATAGGAATTTCCAGAAGGCTGTGTATGTGCTGTTGAAAATGTGTCAATGCTTTGATTTGCTTCTAACGAAGGTGTTCAATTTAAAAGTTAGATTTATTGTAAAATCTCAAATAATATTAATGGAGGCCATTAGATTTTTATATTTATCTAAAAAGGAAATATAAAATTTTAAAAGGTAATTAGACTAAAAGCTCTCTAAGTTTTCTCAGCTCTCATTTTAAAAATACCTTACTTTTAAAGTAATTATTTCACTTTTGTATTTCTTACTATGTAATTAGATTAGTCCCACTGGTAGATGTCATATTTTCCCAGAACATGTTGAAACAATTGTTTAAAAGTACTGCTTCAATATCCTTCTATTCCCTGTTTTCATCACTAAAGTAGCCCTGGTAAGTAAGGCCTGTCCCTCTAAAATGCAGGATTTGCTATATAGCATGTACCAAATGAAACAATAGGTGCATAACTACTTTGAAAGATTAAAAACACTATTCAAATGCAAGGCATACTCAAAAGGTTTTGTTATATCCAGAAGCTTTCACACAAAAAAAGCTCGATTTTTCTACTCTGTGGTTTGAAATTGATGGTTGTTCTTAAAGAGATTTACACACTTGTAAAAAAAATAACAGGGCCGGCTGAGTGGTGTGTTGGTTAAGAGCTGGCTTGGGATGCTAGAGGGCCCCCGTTCGGATCCCACATGAGGGCCAGTGACACTGCCCTCTACAGCTAAGATGCTGAACAACAGCTCAACCTGGACCTGGGCTGCCGAGAGTCGCCAGCGACAGCATAGGCTGCAGCCCCTGCTGCAGTGGGTTGCCATGGGCTACCATGTATAGCCAGCAGCCAGCGTGAGTGGCCAGCAGCCGCAGTGAGCGGCCGTCCAGAAGCCGGCGACTGATCTGCCTCGCCCGGGAAGAGCGCAATGATGGTGCCAACTTGGGCCAGTGAAGCAACGTCCTCCACAACTAGACTGAAGAACAAAACGACAGCAACTTGTCTGTTCCCCTTCCCCCAATTCCCCAGCGCTGTTCCCATCTCCTAATTCCCCAATAAAAATCTTTAAAAAAAAGAAAACAACAGACTACAAAGAAGAATGATTTTTCATTCAATAGAGATCCAAATAACAATGGAAAATTATGTAACATGTAGTACAAAGTCTGTCATCCTAAGTTTTCATTCATAGTCTTAGGCATAAATTGTACTTCACAGCTATCTTAATGTTACATATACTCACTAAGGGGGAAAGATGGACAAGATTTTTAAGTTTTCATTTGTTGACCTAATGTTTAAAGGTTGAATAGTTTATAAAATGATCAAGTGTGCTGTATGAGTGAGTGTTGGCATCATCAGGAACATTCTTTATGAAACACAGACAACTTATTGTAGATAATCAGTTTGATTCTAGTAATCATTTCAGTCATCATTTACAAAAACTGGCAAAGTACATATCCTAGGAATTGCATGACTAAGGTTCTCTAGCTGGCAGGGATATCAGCTGTTGGGGGTTGATGTAATTCTGAGAAATATAACTTCCTTTGGTTTATAGACAGTACGCCGGCTATGACTACTCGCAGCAAGGCCGATTCGTCCCCCCGGACATGATGCAGCCACAGCAGCCGTACACAGGGCAGATCTTCCAGCCCACCCAGGCGTACACTCCAGCCGCTCCGCAGCCATTCTATGGAACCAACTTTGAGGACGAGCCACCTTTATTAGAAGGTAGGATTGGTTGCAACATCTGATTGTACTTTATAGTATCCAGCTGGTCAGTGAAAGTAAACCTTAGTTTGGAGAAGTTGTCCTTCCCTTTAAAAGAATAATGTAGAAAAAGTTCCCTAAGTGACCCATTTTGAATAGATTACTCGTATATGTGAAACCACATTGAGCCAGAGGAGAACAGATTTTTAATCTTTAAAAGTGATAATAAAATATGTCAATATATTAACATCGGCTTTTACTTCATATTATCAATTAAAACCTATCAGCGGAAGAAATGAAAGGAATAGCATGGTATTGATTATTCTACATGGAAATAAGCTGGCAAAACGAGTAACATCACTGAAAAGTGTGGTGCTTTTCAAATTGTATTCCAAAACCCTAGAGCAGTAGTTTTGAGCATTTTTTTTTAATTCAATACACTTTGAGAGTCTAATGAAAGCTATGAATACGCTCCTTAGTAAATGCACTCATATACATAGAGACATAGTTTTGTATACCATTTCATGGGGCCTCCAGATGTTCCTGAAGCCCCAAGTAAAGGACCCCTTACTATTAGCTTTGCCCATAGTCTTTGCTGTGCAGTAATAGCTGGCAGTGTCTGTGCCGTCATATCCGTGCCATTTTCCAACACCAGACCAGAAAACGGACATTTGTGGAATAAGCACCACAGCCAGTGAAGACTGGTGTTGAGGACTCACCCAAATATCATCTGGTAGTCCTGGATCGTCTTTTGATGCTGAGTGTTTCATTTTGTCTCCTGTTCTAGCATAGATTCTGATAAACTAAAGGTGCATCACAAACCCTAATTGACGTCCTTATTTTCTTTTTCTTTAGAATTAGGTATCAATTTTGATCACATCTGGCAAAAAACACTAACAGTGTTACATCCATTAAAAGTGGCAGATGGCAGCATCATGAATGAGACTGATTTGGCAGGACCCATGGTGTTTTGCCTGGCCTTTGGAGCCACGTTGTTACTGGTAAGATTTTAGTTTCAATGCTTAGTGTGAGATTACAGAACAATCTTTAAATGTTCCTCCAAAAGCCATTCATGAGATTGCTTATACATTAAGTCTTTGATGTGTTTTGAATAGTATTGAATTGCTTGGATTTATACCTATTCATCACTTCTCCATTGATAATCATATAGTATATTAAGAAATCATTTCTTATTCTAAGAAGTGGTCCAATTAATAGGGAAAAGTAAAAAATAATAAGTACCATGTGACTTTGTTTCTTCATCAAAATTTTTTCTTTTCAGAGATTGACAAAATTTTTTAGGCTGTTGCTTTTTTTAAAAAATATCCGGGCCGTCAGTGAAGCAACATCCTCCACAACTAGATTGAAGAACAAAACGACAGCAACTTGTCTGTTCCCCTTTCCCCAATTCCCCAGCACTGTTCCCATCCCCCCAATTCCCCAATAAAAATCTTTAAAAAAAATATATATATATCCGGGGCGTGGATAGTGTTTTCTTGTAGTGGTGCTGGTGGTTACTTTTCTGTACATTATTTTGACTTTTAATGAATTGAAACAGTAAAAGACAAGAGGTTTTAGTCCCTATCCCACCTCCCTAAGAATGTTAAAGCATATTGAAAAAGAAAAGTTGTAAAGATAATTGTTAACATTTTTAAAAAATTTTATCTTATGTCTCCAAATGGGGTTTTTAGTCAGAAAAGCTGGGCATGAACTCCATGCTTCTACTCTCTCATTGAGGAAGTCATTTAACCCTTCCGCTCCCTCTAGCAGCTAAGTCTGTGCTTCCCCCCACAAGACTGTTTTGGAGATTAAGCAAGACAGGTTATGTGAGAACACTTGGAGAAGTTTAAAGCCCTGTGCAAGTGTGAGATTTTATTATTGCTACGTGAGTGAATTTATCAATGAACTCCCCTGAGCCTTTCAAGCTTCTGTACTCGCAATCAAGTACAGCAAAACCTTGGATTGCGAGTAACTTGGTCTGTGAGTGTTCCGCAAGACGAGTAAACATTTCTAATAACATTTTAACTTGGTAAATCAGTGATGTCTTGTAATATGAGTAGTTTGGTTCCAGAATGAATTATGCTCGCAAACCAAGGTATTACTGTATTTACAAATAAACATTGAGTCTGACAAAAGCCCAAGGAGTTTTTCATTTCACATAATTTGTGGAGCCACTCTCGTGATTGAGTTTTGTATGTCAAAAATCTGACAAACCAGGAACATTTTGAAGACTCCTCTGTAGACTGATTTTAGTGATAGTGTCATCTGAATACAGTGATGCAATGTTTGTTCACATAGCTTCACTAATGGTACAATAACTCCAATTTAGCTAACCTTTACTGCCCTAAGTTTTTGTTTGTTTGTTTGTTTGTTGTTTTTGGTCAAAGGACTTTATAAATCAACAAACAATTTGGAAAATAAATAAAGAAAAAAATACCTTCCATTATATTCCTCTTGCCTGGTTGTTATTCAGTTTTCTTTTCTCCTCTCCTTCCCACAGAACCCTGGCCTGCTGCTTACCCTGGCTTTCTTTCTCCTAGCTTCTCTAACATATAAAGTGAATGACAAAATTATTTCTGCTGTTTAAAAGATTATACCTAAAAGATTATAGCTACATCTGTCAATGAGAATAAATTGCTCTGACGCAGTTTTGGTGGAATTAGGTGCTTTTAAGTGATATTAGCTGTTGTCCGAACATTCTGAATGACTTTCGTTCTTGTTGCTGTTAGTTTATTTGCTTAAAATCGGCCAGATTTCTCTTTAGAAATCTATTACTTTAGGTGATTGTACCATGATTTTGTATGTTTATTTGTTGAATTCCATACCAAGCTCAGATGCTAACTGGAAAATGAAAAACCAAATATGTTTGTGTTGGGAGGTGATACTTTAAACTTCTTAAGAAGGATGTAAAAGTCAGTCTGCTCAGTGTTCTACCTCTCTGCATAAAGAATAGATATCTCTCTAGATTTCGATGCTCATAAATTGAATATCTTTTACATGTACCAGTTTAAGTGAAATAAGGCCAAAAATAACTTATTTTTTGCCCTTTAACCTGTAATCTTTTCTTTACCCATAGGCTGGCAAAATCCAGTTTGGCTATGTATATGGGATCAGTGCAATTGGATGTCTAGGAATGTTTTGCTTATTAAACTTAATGAGTATGACAGGCGTTTCGTTTGGTTGCGTGGCAAGCGTCCTTGGATATTGTCTTCTTCCCATGATCCTACTTTCCAGCTTTGCAGTGATATTTTCGTTGCAGTAAGTACTGATCTTTATTGGGGTGTTGATTGACTGATTCTGTGTAGTCGGATTTACCTTCCCATCAGTTTGAGATAAATCACGGATCCAGCAAACGGTAGGCAGTGCCCCCCCGCTTGTGAGCACTGTGCTGCATGCTTTTCAGTGAGGAACAGTGGGACTGAGAATACACTTCAACATCTTTTATATCACCTCAGCTTTTGCCTATGAAAAACAATTTCACTAGTTTTGTGTTCATTTACCAGTGTCAGTAAACAAATTGAACAGTGGTGATTGTTAAATGTTAAATTTAGCGTGGAAAAGGGTGAAGTTAAAAATGACACTTTCTTTTTGATATTTTTTAGATTAGACAGTATCTGCTTTCCTGAAGATGTTGGGCATGTGCTAGTGAATGAATAATAAACGTACTCTCTATTTGGCAGCTTTTTAACTGAAAAATAAAACTTTTTTGGGGGGCATGAGGCTGTTATTGGCCTATCATGTTCTCAGGTATACTTGTAAACAGCTTTAAATATGTGTAATTTTTAGATAAGAATTTAGGTAGGGTTAAAAAGAAAGATGTCAATTCCTGCTGATAAAGTTCCCTCTCCTGGCCAGCGCTCAGATGCGCTCAGCAGTGAGGCTCCTCCTTGGGGCTCGTGCTGGCCACGGCTGACCAGTGACCCGGTTTTGTTCCACTTACACTTACACAGTGGAAACGGAGGTTTGAGAGACGAGAACATATATCAACTATTTGATACCAGAGATGTGGCAAGAGGATGGCTTTACAGTGCTCCTGCTTTGGATAAAAATGCTTCAAGTCTCCAGTATAGAGACTGCTTCATTCTTCTCATTTGCTGAGATTAATATATTTACATTTGAATTCTACAGAAGATATTTTCTACTAAAACAGTGTTTTCCAATCAGGAGCGATTTTGCTCCTAGGGGACATTTGGGAATACCTGGAGACAATTTTGGTTGTCACAGCTGTGAAGGGCAGAGGTGCTACTGGTATCTTCTGGCTAGAAGCCAGGGCTGCTATGAACATCCTAACAACACACAGAAGTCCTCCTATGTAAAAACAAAAGCACCTCCAGCCCAACATGAGTAGTGCGAAGGTTGAGAAACCCTGTGCTAAAAGGAGCAAAATGTATTGATAAATGAGCTTTTTATCACATGGAATGATTCAGCATCTTCGAATTCACTGTGAAGTACACTTAAACATTTTGGGGGAAAAAAGTCTTGATTATTTGTGCAGATGTCTACATGCGGATTTAAAATGTCTTTCTTTAGAATTGCTTATCATAGTATTCTTACATAACTAACATCGTCTTTCTTTTTTGTCCTTCTTTTTCCTTGTTGGTTACAGAGGAATGCTAGGAGTCCTTCTTACTGTTGGAATTATTGGATGGTGTAGTTTTTCTGCTTCCAAAATTTTCATTTCTGCATTAGCCATGGAAGGACAGCAACTTCTAGTAGCATATCCTTGTGCTTTGTTATACGGGGTCTTTGCCCTAATTTCCATTTTTTGAACTGAATTTATCTGGAATGTGGACATCATTGGGCCAAATACACGGAAAGGACTTCGGACTCTTAAATCGGACCAGCAAACTGCTACAGTGCAACTCTCATGCAGATCTAACATTTGACTGTTGGAGCAATGGAAGTAAACGTGTATCTTTTGTTCATTTTTATAGAACTTTTGAATACTGTATTGGAGTTACCTGCAGTATGACTAGCTTTAAGTGTTTGTGCTTATACAAATAAGAAGTGCTATTTCTTTCCTGTTCCTCCAGCCTTTGAAAAACAACTTTTTTCCTTGTAAATTATGATGTTTTTGATAGATTTTTATCAACTGTGGGAAACTAACCACAGAGCTGATAATCTTTCTTAAAAACAACCCAGTCATAGTAAAGAAGATACAAGACTTACTGCAGCAATATTTTTTCCAAGGAATTAGGAAAGAAAAATTGCCTGTATTCTCAAGTCAGATGCACTTCAAACAAAAAAGTGATCCCAGTGTAGAGTTTATGAGTTTGCACTTCAAAAATTTGACATTCCTTTAAATTGTGGGATTTTTGCAAAAATTTTGCAATACAAGAAGCTCACAGTCTACCTTATTGTAGACATGAAATGTGAACACCTGTTTAGATATTAGCATTAACTAAACTACGGTGACCTAGACTGGCTACATTAATGCTCATAGTTGAATCTCCATGTTTCCCAGGAAAAAGAAAATCGCTAACCTTTTTGGGAGAAATACTTAAAATGTCTCAGTTTCAGTATTGCAGTTATCAATGTAAAGTGCATTTGATGCTTATTAATTAAAATTTTCCCAGTTAATTTTAACTGTGTTGTTGAATTTACTTTGCTAAACCACTCTTTTCGTTGTCCTGTTTTCTTTAACTAGGGTCTGATTTTGATTTGCATTTTCAATTTATCCTAAATTTTAAGAATAGAAGTCACGTGGTTTAGAATCAGAAAAAAAGTGGTTCAATGCAAAGCAGTTTCCTTTGAGTTAAAACATTATTTTCTTGTATTAAATTTATTTGGTTAATATTGTCATACTCTCTTAACAAAGAACCTGTAAGAAACTACTGTATCTTTTATATTAATCATTGGCTTTTTCTGAAGAAACTGCCTCTGATTCTGGACAAAGTTCAGCTATAATTATAAGAAAGGTGCCATATGGGGAGGAAAATGTTGCCTTTTGTAAAAGAGATTTTCAGACTAAAAAAGAAATGCCAAGCTGACATAATAGTGGTTCTTTTTTAGAGCTGATTTTCAATCATAAAAGGAGGTTAAGATAATAAATTTATTTTTTTTTAAGATGATTTTGGGGAATTGGGGGAGAGGAACAGCGCTGGGGAATCGGGGGAAGGGGAACATACAAGTTGCTGTCCTTTTGTTCTTCAGTCTAGTTGTGGAGGACGTCACTTCACTGGCCCATGTTGGTATTATTGCACTCTTCCCGGATGAGGCAGATGGGTCGCTGGCTCCTGGACGGCTGCTCAGTGACTCTTGGCAGCTCACACCGGCTGCTGGCTACACACAGTAGCTTATCAGCAGCCCACTGCAGCAGGAGCTGCAGCCTATGCTGTTGCCGGTGACTCACAGCAGCCCAGCTCCAAGTTGAGCTGTTGTTCACCATCTTAGCTGTAGAGGGCAGTGTCACTGGCCCTCATGTGGGATCCGAACCGGGGCCCTGCTGCTCAGAGCTGGCGTCNCGGAATTAACTGATCCCCGAGGGGCTTCTGCAGGATAACTTGGCTTATGTTTCAAAGCCAAACAATGTGGAAGATTTAATCACGGTAACAATTTTCTTGCTTGGCTTCTCAGCTGGGGCAGGGGCTGCAGAGGAAAGAAAATCCAGTAAATATGGCAATTGATTTCACAGACAGAAGCAACTGAATAACATCTATTATATATCCAACAATTCATTCCTAAGTAGCTAATTTTTAATGCTCATATTCTTGTATTTTACTCAAATTTGTGAGTAATATCTCTTTTGGACAGGAAGAAACATCTGAAGAAACAAGAGAGACCAGAATTTTTTTTTTTCCTCAACCCTAAGGTCCTAAGTAGATAAAGTGATAGATTATTGCATATTGCTGATAGCTAGAAACTCAGCTTCACAGATAATGTAGCTTATAAAGAGTACAACCATAATTTATCAACCAAATGGGAATATTTTTGGGAGTGAAAAGGGAACAATATTAATTATGTTGGAAAAATTAGGCATAAAATGGGATAAAGGGCTGTCTAATAAATCAGGATATATGGTCAGCCTACCTAGAGTTGTGCAGATGGTACCTACATCAACAAATTCTAAAATGATTTGTAAAAGGTGCTAAATTAAATATTTGGATGAGCAATTTCAGAAATTCTCTGATATAATAGAAAACCTCAAAGAGTAGCTGCTTGTTCATCTCTAGAGTCCAGTCCTTGTTTTTTTTGGTTTGTTATGTCCTTTTGCTGCTACTATTTTTTGTTTCGAGGGGAGTGGGTTTTTTTGTTTGTTTTATTTTTACCTGTTTGTTTCATTTTAACCAGTGAAATTTTATTATTCCTTTGGAAACTGGCCTGGCTTCTTTAGTCAGGACCACAGGATTCTGGCTCCACCATACAATGCAAGGGTTCACGGTATGAATTTTAGTGCTAGAAATCCTGAAGACAGTTCTGGTTAATACCATGGCATTTGGAGTTGTAGTAGTCAGGATTTCTCCATTTTGAGAAAGCGATTTAACATAATAGCCAGAGCAATCTTTTTTTTTTTTTTCTTTTTTTTAAGGAAACAATCTCATACTATTCACCAGTTCACAACTTTCAGTGGTTTCCCTCTTCCTTTAGAATCAACACAAACATCCAACAAGACATGATTTCCTGGCCCTTGGCCTATAGCTCGAGCCTCAACTCCTTTGTGGCTCTACTCACTGGCGCCTCCAATCACCTGGTTTCATTTAGACGAGTGATTTCCAAACTCTTATGTTGCCCAAAGGACATTTTGAAATGCCTGGAGACATTTTTAGTTGTTACAAGGTGGGCAGGGAGATACTACTGGCATCTAGTGGGTAGAGATCAGGGATGCTGTTAAAACTCCCACAATGCACAGGGCCACCCCAGACAACAAAGAATCATTTGGAACAAAATAAAATGCTAACAGTGCAGAGGCCGGGAAACACTGATTTACACACCTTTCCTTACACCATGTTTTCCCCCATCGCAGGCCTTGCACAGACCGTTGCTTCTGCCTAAAATATTCATGCTCTTCTCTTCCCCGCCGTTTCCCTCCCCCCTTTCCGGTTTTCTCCTTTTCCCTAACTCCTCGTCACCCTTTTGCTCATACCTTTCCATAGTAGCTTTCCAGATTCTTATTCCCAGGTAGATATTACACCCTTTCAAAGAATTATGGCGCACGTAAGAATATTAGTAACGCTTGCACGTGTATTTATATGTATTTGATTACCTCCTCCTTGATCAACTCCAGGTGAGCAGTACTATCTAGCTCGTACGCACCACAGTAACCCCAGTAACCCCAGCAGTTAGTACAGCTAGTACCGAGTTGTCACGTAACATTGCATTCGATGCTATTAAACAAACATTTAACAGCCACGCCTATAAAAGAACAACGGAGTAACCATCTCAATATTACGGTGTAAAGATAAATAATAAACTTTAGCACAGTGCCTGAATCACAGTGAATCCAAAGAGAGGGCGAGGCTCTGTAGTTTGCGGACCAGGAGGCAGGCTCTGTCCGTCCCACTTCGGCACTTGCACGTCTCNTTAGCTGTAGAGGGCAGTGTCACTGGCCCTCATGTGGGATCCGAACCGGGGCCCTGCTGCTCAGAGCTGGCGTCCCAAGCCAGCTCTTAACCAACACACCACTCGGCCAGCCCAATAAAATATATTTCTTAAAAGAAGATCCTGATTTATAATCTCTGGAGCCACATAAATATGTTTTTCTTCATTAAGACTTAATCTCCCAGGACCGGCTGAGTGGCGCGTTGGTTAAGAGTTGGCTTAAGACACCAGCTCTGAGCAGCAGGGCCCTGGTTCAGCTCCCACTTGAGGGCCAGTGACACTCTACAGCTAAGATGGTGAACAACAGCTTGATCTGGAGCTGAGCTGCCATGAGTCACCGGTGATGGCATAGGCTGCAGCCCATGCTGCAGTGGGCTGCCATGAGCTACCATGAGTGACTGGCAGCCAAGAGTTGCATTTGATGGCAGTTGTTTAGTTCTAGAGTTTGCTTGGTTACATGAAGGGTCATATATATATGCAAAATTTCCCTTATAAAACTCTTAAATTTACAATACAGTATATGTAGCTGTATTTAAGCATACTTTAAAAATTGATACACTGTGTCTCAAAAAGTTACTATAGGATAACTTCTTTTCCTTAGCATTGGAATACATTTGTTTCTCCAGTTAATACCAGGTAGAGCATCTGACTTGCTTTTAGGGCCCATTTTATACCAAAAACATATATGTACCTTTAAATACTAGAGACACTCTCAGCATAGCTAAAAACTTAGTGAGTGATTGTCACTGAGTAACTGAAACCCAGTTAATGTGTGTTATTTACGCATGCATTGCATGTATGCCAAGGATGTGTATGGAATAAATGGAATGTTACCAGTGGTTGTTTTCAAGAGCTATACAGCTAGGCTTGTAGAAATATGCATTCTTTCTCCAGATATAGTTATATAGATAATGCAAAATTCTGTAAATCTTAAAATGCTAGCTATCGTTAGATATTGGGCATCCCATCAAAAAGAATTTTTAAAAATGTATCTTATGATGTGATTTTTGGTAGATTTTAAGCACTGTGCATTTGACATTTTGCAAGTATGTATTTTTAACCTTAATAGTCATTGCTCAACTCAAATATACTCCAAAGCTAAATAAGGATAGTTGTTTTCAAAGTTAAAATTATACAGTTATGTTTGTAGTACTCATTACCTACAGAAAAAGGAGCTTTTCTGAAATTATATACTTTTTTCCCCATACAAATAGAAGAATTTAGAACTTTGAGCAAAAAGAGAACTGTAGAAATTAGACTCTTATCTATAGGATACCCTGACCCAATCGTGGAGAATTAGGGGAAATCAAGACCACATTTGTAAATTCTGCCTGTTGTCATATAGAGCAGATCTAATGTAATGACTTAGACAATTTGCTTAACTTCCCTGTGGGAGAAAAAAAGCATATTTATGACAGTGTTTAGCTTTTCATAAAGTAGTACCAAAAATTTTCCAAAAAATCTAACATGGTACAGATAGAATGAAGAATACTTACCAAAGAATAGCTCTGGGCCTTTAAAACGCTAGCTAGAGCAAGCTTCCTACCCAAATAATACCCCAAGTTAAATCCATCCTGAGTATCACTGATTCATTTTGTCATGTCATGTTAAATTCCAACTACCGGTTACCAAATGATTTCAATTTTTTATAGATTTCAATTTATTTGGAAATGAAAGCTTTATTTCTCAAGCAATTTATTTGTATCTAATGATGTGCTTGTTTCAACATAAGAACTTTGAAAATGAAAATTTTTAGAATGGGGCAAAAACATAAGTACCTTTTCAAAGATAGTTACAGTAGTTACTGAGAGTTTCTTTTTCCTTTTTAGGTTGTATTTAGGATTTGAGGGAGGGAGTGGCTATAACAAGACAAGGAGGTTTTTAGGACTTGCCCTAAGGAAGAACTGGTTCCTGTGCTTAAATGAACAGATGAGTGACCTGCCATTAACTTGTTAAGCAAATAGCATTTACTTTTGAACAGTCTACACAAAGCCTGTCCTCACCACTGTCTACAATCTGGGCTGTTACTACTGTACACAATCAATGAA